TTGTACCAAGTTCTACAGTAAGTAGGTCACTGTGACTATTACTATTACTAGTTTTGGAGATGTGGGAGGAAAACGACTTGAGAGGAGCTGAGAAAGTCAGCCTGATGCTGATTGAACTAGATATGTTCTTAAGGTGCAGTGTTTCCCCTACCATTGTCTTGGAGGGGCGCTGCGCCCCCGCCAACGGAGCCCCGCGCCCCCCTGACATTTAAAAAAAAAATATATATATATATAGCACCAAATTGCAACTAATCTATATCTACTGTCACTTTTCACATTGAACATGTGCTCTTTTATTAAATAAACTAAACACTTTCATTTTAAGTTGTGAGTTTAGTGTTTTTGACCCTAAGAAACGGATGCATTAATCAATAACAATAATCCATAGCTCCTCTCTGCTCCAGAGGATTTAAAAAAGATATATCCCAATGCCACCCCCCCGGCTCAGGCAGCACCCCCCCCAAAGCAGTAAACCTAGGGGAAACACTGAGGTGATAGTATGCAGACTTAATAACCGTTTTAATGCAGGTCTGAGTCCATCACTACACCTAGATTTCTTGCTTTAATTGTTGTTTTAAAGTCTGCCGACTGAAGCTCTGTGATGACTTTTAATCGTTCCTCCTTTGCTCCAAAAACAATAATCTACTTTTAATCTACTACTAAGCTACTTTTCTTTAGTGACGTTTTAACCTGACATAGCTTTGAGATGTTATTAATCCCTGGAATGGTGTCTGAGAAAAAGGGTTATGGGTTTAACTATAAATAAAACCTCTAAGAAACTTTTAATGATATATCTGTGAAAGAAGAGCGGTTCATTCATGAACTGAAATCATGTAAATATGACTAGAATAAAAAGTGTGTTGTGACCTTACTATATTTGCCCTCCCCCCTCCTCTCTCCCAATAAAGCTCATCCTTCCTGCGTGGACTCTGATAGTAACACAAGCTGACACAAACAAGAGGAACTGACACACACAGCTGTCTCATAGCACTCGTCTCCCCATATCCAATGCCACATTTTTCTGGAGGATTTTTTTTCTACTTTCAGTACTCCATGTCACCTCATTTGACTGTCAGCATTTGACTTTCTACCCAATTTAATTCTATTTTTTGTGAACTGTTTGTTGACTTTTGTCTATGGTTGTTTAGTACCCACACATTGTCACCTTTAAATCAAGAGTGGTCAGTGATTTCATTTAAAAATAACCTTTTCTAAACAGTACCACTGAACAAGATTATAATGACTTGTAACAAGCCTAATCTTTTGCCATGTCTTTTTTAGTGATACCTACTTTAGAGAAACCGGACCCTTGGTCTGCATAGTGCAGGGTCACAAGCACTATAAATAAAAACTGTAGTCATGTGAGGGTGAGTAAGTCATGCTGAAACATAAAAACAACCTGAACCCAATACACATCATATCGGCTCTTGGAGTTACACTGACCAGCAGGAAATAACCAAAAACTTTAACTGAGACAAAAAAAGCATGCAAAGGTGTCGAACCACAAACTATGACTACATCTAAAAAACTCACTTTATTTTTTAAATGGACACCCACATTGTATGCCTACTCATTGAACCTATTTTCAGGGAATTTTTAGTCAATCTATTTGAGAAATGTGTTTGAGTTTGCCAAGGGCCTGTACTTAAAGCCAAGAGCAACAACAATGATATAATTAGTATATGAAACGAATGAGTAACACAATAAATAGACAAAGTCCAAAATTAGCCATACTACTCTGCATCGAGATAGCAACGAAGGCAACTTGATCAATCACCGATGCCCAGGCAGGCTTTATGCATGGCACTTGGCATCCATTTGGCATGAGCACAACAGAGCCCCTAATTATTCGGAGCTCCGTAAAACGAAGCTGTCTATGCTGTCTGACGGTCGATTTGACACCATTTTTATATTTTTGTTGTAATCATACCGTTTTTTGACTAACAGAAATATTGTTTTCTGGCACCACTTTAACATTTTCCAGGGGGAAATCTGCATTTCAGTATGAGGGCGCAAGCCGAAAGTAAGAGGGCGCAGCAGTTCAGACAAAACCCTGCATACTGTATCTCAAATTATGTAGCAAAATCTCAGCAAGACAGATGTGCTAGATATTATAACGCTGGTGTTGAAATTAGATGAGTAGATAAGTAAACATATTGAAAGCACTATTGTTTTTGTCCGTTCATTTTATTCACATTCGAGCTGCTTGAAGGATGCCAATTAAGGTTAAACCACGTTACAGTTTAAGTTGCTTACAAGAGAGTTGTGGAGGGTTAATAACATAAAAATGGACCACAGCCTCTTTTTACCCTGAAGTTAAAACACTGAGAGTAAAAAGACTGGCCTACTAGCCACACAAAAGGCCTTTTAGTCTATTATGGTTTGACATGAGCTCTAAGGCATAGTGGTAATACTGTGTAACAAAGACAAAAAAATCCCATTAGGTTATTTTCCACTAATTCTGCATACTAATCCTACACTACTCAGCCACATCTCAAATGTTGCAGCAATTTGTAGCCTATAATGAAAATGTTGGACCAGCTCTTCATGGTTCAGGAGACACCAGTTTGATTACATTGATTTATGTAAGTAGTAGCTGACTGTTCAACCTTTGCCCTCAATTTGAGGCACCAGTGCTCTTTAGTAAATTCATGAAGTAATGCTCATTTCCTCTTGAAAATGACACAACTAGTTTCACCACAACAACATAACTGCAATGATTTGTGATCTTATCATAGAGTAATTGTTAGGAATACTAAGATTTAATTGTATTATCGAGAAGATTTTCTGAAGATTGTTCCACAATGAAGATAATTGTTGCAGCCCTGATAAACAATCTGAAATACAGGATTGGTTTTTACTTTTGGTAATAGTTTTTTCAGAAATATCTAAAGATCTTTAACCCTAAATACCAATAAAACCATTAATGACAGTGAAGTAAGAAGACTATCAGCACTTGCTGTTACAGAAGCCAAGTGTTGCACCTACATGATCACCCTCCAAAAGTAACAGGAAGGCATGGGCTCAACGCTCGCCTCAGGATTGGGTTGCCGCTATTCGTTATCAGGTGAGCTATTTCAATAATTATGTCATTTGAGCCTTATACCCTCTCATTGAAGAATACAAATGTTATCTGGCTTCACCTCTAAGGAAGTAACATTATAGTCATTTAGCAAATAATACTAAATGATTTGCTATTACTGCTAGTCATTGGATACTAGGCTGGCAAATCAACCGATCCTAGATGCTTCTTTGGCCGCACAAAGAAAGCTGCAGACGATATAGTGTTGTGTAATATTGTGAATGTGATGACATATTTATTTATCCTAAGCCTAACAACTGTAAAACAATACATACTTACACCCACAACATCTGAGCACTGCAGAGAACCAAAGTCAGTCTGCCTGCTTTGACATGTTTTTGACTGAGCTTTAGACTGCATTTTTTACTAGCTGCATCTAAAGGTTGCCTGAAATTGCCCTAAATGCATGATGTTCCAAACCTGAATGTTTTCTTTGTTTTGTGCCTGTATCTAGCCGAGCAGTAGCTACTACAGTGCATTTACATTTGTGCATCGACTCGTGCAGTGCAATGTTTGACCACTTCAGCTCAAGATGAGTTGAGTGCTAATGCTCACATTGCCAAGCATCTCTTCAGTATTGTGTCTTATATGATTTCTGTCTTGAAAACACATTTTCTTGTTTGTATACAAATCGTTTTCTAGCACTATCATGACTGCATGGTTTAGTGACAATATTACTTGCATTTGAAGGAGAATTTTCAGGGACTAACAATACTTACCAATTGCATCCGTGTTGTTAAGAGACCAGATGTTTAGTTTGGTTTTCACTCTCAGAGATCAGTGCATAGAAAATTCCACACATGTGCACACTGTACTGTACTTTCCACCAGCTACTTAAGTAAAATAATCTAGCCTGTCAGCATACCTTCTTGCAACGAAATCACAAATCATACATTTGCATCAGTGGCATTTAAAACATTTGACACCCACAATTCTTAACCGGTAGAAGGCTAAGCAGTATCTTCTCCATGATTGAGATGTATTCCATCAACAGATGCTATTAAGATGACTGATTCAGGAGAGGACACTGAACATTGTCTGTGGTTACATGGCAGCTGCTTCCACTGCAGGCAGTCGTTCAATATGAACATTATTTCTGACAATATCAGGTTTACATTATAAACAGCCCTCTCATGCACAATTTTATCAGATTAGAGACCATAAGCACACATTTCCTATATGTACATCTCTACAAAAAAACTGTATGCACATTTAACTGCCTCATTTGCACTGCTGCCAACTACACCCACTAAGCGTGTTACGGCTCATGCGTGTTCAAGTCTATGGTTACAGTCCACACAATGCTGTCAGTGTTGACGGAAACGCAGAGAAAGCCCTGCTGTGTCCCTACCATGCGTTTTCAAAAGGGCCATCACAGTTTTCTCTTAAAAGTTAGTTTAAACCATGGTTGCTGCTCTTATAATTAATCATATGTTATGTGCGTTGATAGTAGTCTACACATCATAGAGCTGAGTTGACTGTACCCAGTTATGGCACAATGAGAGCTTTAATTACAGTATATATCGTTACATTAATACAGGTTTATGTTGCAGCTAAGATTAACCCAATATTTCTGTGGTTATTGGTCATTAAAAGGACAGGAGACAGCTGGTCGTAGGCTCGCTAGCTAGCAGCGTTTACGGCTAGCTGCAAATGACATAGCGTTTAGTTTCCCCGGAGCAACCCATTGTCCACGTTTACTAAAACACAATAATAGTGTCAGTTCAAACATCCACACACAGCTCTTCAAAAACCCTGTGATGTTATACTGTAACTAGCTGGTTAAACTAGTGAATAAACAACACCTTTGACTGGTCTTGACATTAAAATAGGACTGCTTGTTGCCAAGTACACATTCAATATAACAGTGTGAGCAGCTAACAACAAGGGGTTAAAACAAGGAGTAGCATCCACTCACCAGCGGGTCTCTCAGCCCAGTAGTAGCTATGTACTTCAGCTGTGTATTTCTTCACACACTCGGGGTGCGAGGAGGCTTTGGAAATGGAGCCAAGAGTGTCCTAGTAACAAAAAACGCTTTAGCCAAAAGTGCCCTAGCAACAAAAAACGCCTTATCTTATCGTAACCAGACCCCGGCTGCAGGGCGACCTCATCACACAACCCCCGCCTGAGATGTTGACCAAATCTCAGCTGTGGTAGTGGGAAGCAGAGGCAACAAAAACACTCCGTTTATAAATGAAGAACGTGGTGGATGGATGGACGTGTTTGCAGGGAGGGAAGGGTTCCCTGGGTGAGTGAATTCCCCTCTTAAAAATCCGTCGTTATGCAGAGGGTTCGCAATCAGCACGGCTCTACACGTTGCACAGCCCACTACAACCAGTACAGATCCGACCTCCCCCAGTCAGCTCGGCATACACAGCGATGGCTCCGCTGGAGGTTTTGAGTACAGCATGAGGGGAGTGATGCTATCATGGGAGAGAGGGGGAGGTAAAGGAGGGAGGGAGGGGTGCTGCACATGGTCACGTAGCCATTGCAAGTGATTCTTACAAATATTGGGGCATATGAATCACTACTGGTTCCTTAATGGTGATGGATGAACTCAAATAAAAATAAATCAAGAGGGCTTTATTCATATTTCTGTCCAAAATACAGAATTAGGCCTACATCTGAAGTTATATCTAGTGTAATGAAATGACAGATCTCATTTCGGCAAACATTTCAGGGCTTTGTGGACTTAATCCATGACAAACTGGAGTTGAGACCAGGAGGCGGAGTCGCAGTTTTACACGCTTCTCTGCGCTCTCTCCTAGGCAGTTATCCATAGGAATCCCGAACCCAATAAAATACCCAATATTAACGGTGTGTGTGTCTGCCCAATGACAATTTAAGGTAAAACCTAAGAGGTATCATATACATAATAACCTAATAAAAGTAAATGTAACAACTAAGTAGTATTTCTTATTTGTTACAGTGTACCGTGCACCAGGTCCTTATTCAGAATTATTATCAGAATTCTCTGAATCAACTTTGGTACTTAAAACAGATAAAGTAATTATCGTATAGGTGACTTTAATATTCATGTTGACGATGATAAAAATAGCCTTACTGTTGCATTTAACTCTATATTAGATTATGTGTGCATCTGGACCCGGTGACGACATTACCTATTGACGCAGCAACCACTGTAAGTTATATTCTTGTTTAATTAGACTTCTCTGTTTCATTTATTCGACTCTGTATAAATTGTTATTGTAGCTTAAACGGCTAAATCGCGTTTGAGAGATTTTAAATCTCAGATCTGCTCAGGCGAAACCTGCTTTACAGGTCTCAGCACTCAAGCCTGCATTAATATAGGCACGGCCAGTCTATTGATAGCGTGAAGTACAACCGCGTGACTCAGTCATTTTGTACCTTAAAAAGCATTTAAATACCGCATTTAAAATCTGATGAACTCAGTGTGCATCTGGACCCGGTGACGACATTACCTATTGACGCAGCAACCACTGTAAGTTATATTCTTGTTTAATTAGACTTCTCTGTTTCATTTATTCGACTCTGTATACATTGTTATTGTAGCTTAAACGGCTAAATCGCGTTTGAGAGATTTTAAATCTCAGATCTGCTCAGGCGAAACCTGCTTTACAGGTCTCAGCACTCAAGCCTGCATTAATATAGGCACGGCCAGTCTATTGTCGCCCATCAGCTGTAGATAGTTAACTAATTAGAGGGCCGTGGCCCTACAGCTGTGTGAACTGAGCAATCAGGCGTCCATTTTTGGGTAGCTCTTTCCTGGAGCGTCAGCTTCAGCGTCAGACAGCCGAAGACTGACAAAGACATTGGAGTCCTGCGGGAGTAAGACTGACAAAGACATTGGAGTCCTGCGGGAGTAAGACTGACAAAGACATTGGAGTCCTGCGGGAATCACGAGGGAGGCAAAGAGGAGGCAAATCCTACTCTGATTGAGCTGGTGTCTTATTTATCTTTTCTTTAGTTTTCTAGCCCCTCATGCTATAATCATGTGTATTTTCTCCATTCCTGTTCATGTGTCTTCTCGCAATTATCACTGGCCCCGTGTATCTCCTAATCGATATAACCGGCCTGCTCTCGTCTATCCCACGTGCTCCACTGAGATCCAACATCTAGTTTCTGGTGGCCTGTGGAATTGCCAGTCAGCTGTTCCTAAGGCTGACTTCATCTCTGGCTACGCCTCCCTGCAGTCTCTGGATTTCCTTGCTCTCACTGAGACCTGGATTACTCCATCCAACACATCCACCCCAGCAGCTCTCTCCACTGCATATTCCTTCTCCCATACACCCAGACCCACTGGCAGAGGAGGTGGCACTGGTCTCCTGCTCTCTCCCAAATGGAGCTTTTCCCTCTTCAAGCTACCTAACTGCACTCCTTCCACCTTTGAATTCCATGCCGTCACAGTAACCCATCCTATACAGTTAACCATTGTTGTTATCTACCGTCCACCAGGCGCCTTGGGGGACTTCTTGGAGGAATTAGATCATCTCCTCTCACTCATCCCTGAAACTGGCCCTCCCGCTGTACTTCTCGGAGACTTCAACCTCCTGACGGGGAAGATAGACGAACTAACATCTCTGTTAACCGCCTTTGCTTTCTCACTGTCTCCATCCCCACCGACTCATAAAGCTGGCAATGTCCTTGATCTCATATTCTCAAGGAACTGCGCTACTTCTAACCTCTCTGTAAACCCGCTCCACACATCCGATCACTTCTTAATTTCATTCTCTCTATCCCTTTCCAAACATAACAAACTAATCTCTTCCCATCCTGCACTTGTCCGCCGTAACCTTCGCTCCCTCTCCCCCTCTACCTTTGCCTCGTCGGTGCTCTCAGCCCTCCCTTCCTCTGATTCGTTCCATCTCCTGCCTCCAAACTCTGCTGCAGAAACTCTCCTCTCTACTCTCTCATCCACTCTGGACTCGCTCTGTCCTCTCACATCTCGGCAGGCTCGTCAGTCCCCTCCTGCTCCCTGGCTAAATGATGCACTGCGTGCTAATAGAACCGTCCTTAGGGCAGCAGAGCGGAAATGGTGGAAATCCAAACACCGTGACGACCTCCTACCCTATCAAGCTCTCCTCTCCTCTTTCTCTGCTTCGATCTCTCAGGCAAAAAGCACTTTCTTTCAAGATAAGATCCAATCTTCCTATTCCAATCCTAAAAAACTATTTTCCATCTTCTCCACCCTCTTGGACCCTCCAAAAGCTCCTCCCCCCTCCTCACTTCTGTCAAGCAACTTTGTTACCCACTTTGAAAAAAAGGTTGATGATATTCGCTCTTCTTTTTCTGGACTCACCTTACTCACCGCTGGGTCACCAGACCCTCCTTCCACCAACACACTTACCTCCTTTTCCCCTCTCTCTCCAAGTGAGGTTCTTACCCTCATTACCTCTGCCCCGCCCTACCACCTGTCCTCTGGACCCTATCCCCTTCAAACCTCCTTCAGACTATCGCTCCTGATATTCTACCGTTTCTCACCCATTTCATCAACACTTCTCTAACTTCTGGTCACTTTCCAAACAGTCTCAAGGAGGCAAGAGTAAACCCTCTCCTAAAGAAACCCACTCTCAACCCGTCTGATGTTATAAACTACAGGCCTGTCTCTCTCCTCCCGTTCCTGTCTAAATCACTTGAACGCGCTGTCTTTAAACAACTCTCCTGTTATCTCAATCAGAACAACCTTCTGGATCCGCACCAGTCTGGTTTCAAGGCAGGTCACTCCACAGAAACTGCTCTCATTGCTGTCACGGAGGAACTGCCACACTGCCAAAACTGCATCCCTCTCCTCTGTCATCATCCTATTGGACCTGTCTGCTGCATTCGACACGGTGAATCATCAGATCCTCCTTCGCACTCTCCAAAAACTTGGAGTTTCAGGCTCTGCACTTTCCCCTCCTCACCTCATACCTGAAAGACCGTACCTACAGGGTGACTTGGAGAGGGTCTGAGTCCGACCCTTGTCAATTAACTACGGGGGTCCCTCAGGGCTCTGTTCTTGGTCCCCTCCTCTTCTCCCTGTACACAAACTCGCTCGGATCAGTCATTAGCCCGCATGGTTTTTCTTACCACTGCTACGCTGATGACACCCAATTAATTCTGTCCTTTCCCCGCTCAGAGACCCAGGTCGTCGCACGCATCTCTGCTTGTCTAGCTGACATCTCTCAGTGGATGTCTGCTCACCACCTCAAGCTCAACCTTGACAAGACTGAGCTGCTCTTCCTCCCGGGAAAAGATTGTCCCACTCTTGACCTAACAATCAACATCGGCACCTCAGTTGTTTCCCCGACTCAGACTGCAAGGAATCTGGGTGTGACCCTAGATAACAACCTGTCCTTCACTGCAAACATCGCTGCTACAACCCGTTGCTGCAGATACACGCTTTACAACATCAGGAGATACGTCCCCAGCTGACTCAGAAAGCGACTCAGGTTCTGGTCCAGGCTCTCGTCATCTCACGCCTAGACTACGGCAACTCCCTCCTGGCTGGTCTACCTGCATGTGCCATCCGACCTCTGCAGCTCATCCAGAATGCAGCGGCTCGTCTGGTCTTCAACCTTCCTAAATTTTCCCACACCACTCCGCTCCTCCGCTCCCTTCACTGGCTTCCGGTAACTGCTAGAATCCACTTCAAGACACTGGTTCTTGCTTACCATGCTGCGAATGGATCTGGCCCTTCCTACATCCAGGACATGGTTAAACCGTACACCCCAGCACGTGCACTACGCTCTGCATCAGCCAAACGACTCGTTGTGTCCTCGCTGCGAGGGGGACCCAAGTTCCCATCGGCGAAAACACGTGGGTTTGCTGTCTTGGCTCCAAGATGGTGGAATGAGCTCCCCATTTACATCAGGACGGCAGATAGCTTGCACATATTCCGGCGCAAACTGAAAACTCATCTCTTTCGACTCCACTTTTGAGCGTTGGAACTATTAACGAAGCACTTTTATACTAATAAAGGACTGGCTTACCTAAAGCCAGTTGAGTACTTGAAATGTTTGGCTCTATGAAACCTGATGTACTTATATGATTCTGTTTTCTTCAAGGTTGTGTCTTCCTGGTCGAATGTACTTATTGTAAGTCGCTTTGGATAAAAGCGTCAGCCAAATGCAATGTAATGTAATGTAATGTAATTATGTTGGTTTCTGTCAGAGTGTAAATAAACCAACCCACTGCTATAATCACACTCTCGACCTTGTTCTGACTATGGTATTGAAATTGAGCAACTATTAGTCGAACCGCATAATCCTGCTTTATCCGCCCATTTCTTAGTAACTTTTGAAGTACTATTACGAGACTACAAAGCATTAGTCAAAAGCTCCTGCAGCAGAAACCTATCTGTTAGTGCTATAGCCAAATTTAAGGAAGAGATTCCACCAATACTTAACTCGATAGCATGTCTGCATGTAAGGGAGGAAACGTATACAAAATGTACACCACCCCAAATTGATCATGTTGTTG